GGAGTAAAGCCAAATAGGTGGTGGGGCAGTCTGGAAATTGGCCTAGAGCTTACTTCCACTCTACCACCAAAACTTGCTTAATGGAGATGAACCAGTTCTGCTTTATAGCACAAGAAGCCCCAGAAGTTTCCCGACATATAATCAAAGAATTAGGTGGTTTGGCAATGGTTGAAGTTGTAAATTTTATCAGCCAGTAAACTGTTAGCCATGGTGAAAGAAACAATCTGGTTGCACTAGTGATTAGTAATCACTTGGATGTGAAAGAAAAAGTTACCTTTCTGAGGTGAATTGCAATATCTGCCTGTGAATCTTCGATGGATTGACTTCCACACTCTGTACAGCAAACATTGTGACTAATGTTTCTTGCTCGGGCTTCCACTACTTGAGTCTTCTTCAATTCATCATCTTTTTTCTCCATTGCTAATATATATCACCTCAACTTCAAAGTAACTATAGAAAATATCAAGAGAAGAACGTTACCACAAAAATAAAAGATAAAAGGAAACATAATCTTTCAGAGCTAAGTCAGGTTTTTTTACCAGTGAGACATGTTATAAAAAGCTTGCTATGAGAAGAAAAGGAAAGAAAAGAAAACATCATATACCTTTTGTTCAATTCATTTATCAAATCTAACCAAAGAACCCCAGGGAAAAAAGTACCCTTGTCTTCAGATATGAGTATTTAAGTACCAAAGTTGTCCCTCAAGTGTATTCAATTGTAAGATGGCTTCTTATTTTCTTTATAGGATCTAGATACATGCAATCTTATTCTGATCCCATTTTAAAGGAAAAAGAATATAACTTATGTCCCCCCAGACTTAGGTTCTACTAAAGGAACACAGTTCATTGAGGCATTTCATCAAACAATAAGCAGGCATTATAGCATCCAGTTAGAACGCAGATGTAATCAGGATTTAAGTACCCTTCCAGACGAGAATGCATTTCTTCATAACCAGTGACATAATTTCATCATAACCCATGACATAATTTCGTCTTACGCATCACGTTTCAAGGCGTAGAATCAAACAAAATATGTAACTTCAGAGAAAATTTACATCTTTATTACACAACACAATGCATTCAAGATCAAATATAATTCGAGGAAATTCACACCACAAAAGGTTTAAAAAGAAAAGAAAATCACTCGTATAAAGAAAGACCTTACTCCTCAGACGTGCAAATCGCAGAAATAAAAAACTGGAGAGAAACAACTGTGAATTCTGCGCCAGTTGGGGTTTGCGTTTTAGTGGTTTCTGTCAGGTTTATATATTCGCTCGGCCTTATTGCATTGGCTAGTCCCTAAATTTTCGACTTAAATTCAAATTAGACCTTAAATTTGTAATTGTAAATATTGATGTCGTAGTCTGGATCTTCAAATTTCATGCTTAAGTCATCCTTTATGTGAAATATATCACAAATTAGTCATTTTGCAAGTAATATGTTAATTCAAAGAGGCCCAATAGTAATTTTCTTTATAACAAAAATAAAGAGTCCCATATCTTCAAATTTCACACTCAAGTCATCCTACATGTAAAATATATTTTACATTAATCATTTTGCAAAAGGCAAGTAACATGTTAATTTAGAGTGGCTTAATAGTGATTTTCCTTATAATGGAAATAAGGAATCCTACACTTAGAGTTGCGTGGTATAAGTATTGTGGGTTAAGAGATACAAAAGGATTATCTCTCATAGTATAACTTAAGAGGTATTTGTTTTAACTTTTTAAAATAGTTATCAGTTGTTGACTTTAATCAGACAACTTAGATATTTTAAATTATAAATAATAACAATAATTAATTTTCAAATACTTAACTATTAGCTTTTCGTTGTATTAGAAAAACTAATCAAACAGCCACTTAATCTATTTAAGAAAAACGACTATATCGAAACAAAATATTAATTCAAAATTTAATTATTGTGATCTTATGATTATTATTCCATATTTAATTATCAAATTTGTAATCACCATCAACACGCAAAAGAGGATCTTAAAATGCCAATAAAGTCATGACTTAGCGGCAAGATTGAGATGTGAAACCTTCGGATCTTGATCTCCAATACTCAATTCATGTCATGTACAGGTTACACTCCATTTTATGTTCGTATTTCCTTGGTTTCATTTAATACATAATTGTAATTTAGCGATACAAATGACCAAGGACAGCTTATATCAGATATCTCTTAAATTTGAAACTTTGACATAGGATAAGGGTTAATCTTTACAATATACAGAGGCCTTCCAAGTGAGCACCTAACGACTATGTTCTTTTATCGGATTATCCAGCTATAACTGCATTTAGCAATCTACTCTTTTATGGTTTCAGATCAGAACTTGGAAATGTGATTGATGAAATTGTTGAATCTCCATTGCCCTGCAAAATTATATGGTCAGGAAATTCAGATAGACATTGCATCACTCTGCATGGCTTCCATCTAAATAATAAGTTAGTAGTACTGGAGCCAATCTTCATATATATTAGTAAAGTAGGCTAATCAAGTTTTCAGTTATATGTCCTGTATTTGATCCAGAAAATGGATATAAAACATAGAGTCATGGACCGTATTCATATCATGTAAAGCTAAACCTGGACACTGAGAAAAGGCTCTAGAATGTCCTACAGAACCTAACGTATTGAAAGAAAATAAAATTTGAATGGTCAAATAAAATTTACGCTCATGGTAGTGTGTTCGCAACAGATATACCTCTATTCTGGTGGAAGAAGTGCAATCTCAATTTCTTGTAGTGGTTTTCCTTTAATCTCCATAATGTTTTCCCTCACAAAAATTGCTCCCGACAAACAAAAGGTAGCAAAGATTATATTCGGGATTAATGGTCCAATCTGCCCTAGCAACCGCAAAAACAACAGACCAACAAAGAAATTTATTGCCTGTTGCTAAGAACAAAGATGATCAGAGGAAGTTACAAAGTCGAAGAATCCAGAAAAGGAAATTGAGTACATACGAGTATTTATCCTGTCATGTTTAAGTAAACTCTCAGAAGAATAAACACCTCTTTTTAACGAAAAAAACCTGTAAACTAGAGTGGGACTTTAATCATTGAAATAATGGTTTCAAGTTTTACCAAAGAACCAAAATGATAAAATAACCCACAACAAAGAAAATTATCCTAGGTTGATCGAGATAAAGATCATAATACTTTAATCGTAATAGTCATTAGTCAATCAGAAAGGTATCAAAATACTAAAAGCAAACTCCACTTCCAAAGAGTCCAATTACAAGTTCTTTGTCTTAAATTCTAAATTGCAAAACCTGTGAGCTCAGTTACAATTTCTGTCAAACTAGCCCTTTGAATCTAATAGTCTAATAGTTTAATAGTTTGTCCTTAAATCTTAATGTTTAAATTGAGTTGAGTTGATCGAGAGTTCGAGTCTCACTAACTATTTGAATATTTGCACTTGACCTATAAATTATAGGTGTTTCTCCCAACTCATGGATTGGATCCATTACCTTCCCCGTTCCCTTATAATTACCCTTGTTTGAAAAAAAAAAAGTTACAATTAGTCTGTCACTTACTTTTTCTTTCACTAGAAGGGAGTGGTATTGACAAGCAAAACTACAACCCCTAAAACTGAGTTTCACAACTTTAGATTTTTGTAAGAACAATTAAAAGGAAATTTGGACTAGGGACAAAAAGAGCAAATAGTTAAAGGACACTTGTCTGTAGTTATTTTAGGAAAAAAAAAGTTAAAGAAAATTACCCAATGAACAGCCATGCAACTGCTATAGTCTTTGCCCTAACACGACCAGGTAATATTTCTGATGATAAGGGTAGGCTAGGCATTGGACCAGCACCTAAAGCAAAGATCAACGCAATAACAGAGGAAAGGAAGAAAAGCAGACGCAGAGTAATGCAGTGGCGGTGGATAGAAGCTAGTAGCCAAACACGTACATTTATACGCAGAGTAATTAAATTTATCTATATAATATTGATGTTAAAATTAATATTTATTTTTTATAATTTTTTATATAAATTTATTATAAAAAATATCATTAACATGTGTCTTAAGATTACATATTAAAAAGAAATTTAATTATTTTAATTTAATTTTTAAATAAAATATGAATAATCAAACTTTGACCGTGATTTATGTGATCACTGTATAACTATTTCATTAGCACCATTAGAGTTTAACTCCTTTGTATTCTCTTTTCCCCTCCCCAAGGCCTCAATTCAATAATAATAATAATAA